CCAAACCACCCAACATCCTCAATACCAAACACCCCAAGATCCATTTCCTTTCTACCCCCCGTACTCAGACGACCAATGCTACAGACCAACCATGGAACCCCACCCACCGCCAACACGACCAAACTTTGAGGGTATGGGTAACCGACTGTACCAGAGCGGATCTTCTAGATATGGAGATCTGACTGATTTTATGGATTCGGACCGCATTGACTTCGCTGGGCCATCGACCTTGCCGCAGCAGGAAACGCGACGGCACCCAGCACGAGAAAGGCGAGGATGGGGATGCGGAACCGGGGGATCATTGATGTATCTTTTTTTTTCCCAGTATTTTTGTATCCATTTTTTTATCTGTTTTTTTTACTGTTATTTTAATGTAATACAGTTGGATGTAATTATTTTTTTTTATAATAAAAAGTCCATTTTGTTGATCTCTGTCCAACAGACAATGCACCGGAAAAAAAATTAAAAAAAAATTTTTTTGCCCTAAAAATACACTTAGGCGCCATCTTACTTGGCTTAGGGCATGCCCTAAGCACATAGGCGCCAAGTGAGATGGCGCCTCCCTTAAAAAAATAGGTGGAGGCACCAAGTGAGATGACTCCTCCTTTGGGGAGTCATCTGAAACATGGTTATTTGCGTATTTTTTTCCGAAACCCGGTTATTTGTGAAATATTATTTTAATACTTGGTTATTAATAAAAAAAATTCCATATTTGACCTCTGATATTTTTTTATGATTTTTATTTGGTGTTTTAATATATTTTGTGTATTTTACCAATTATTTCTCTTTTATTAATCATTTAAATATTGTTTTAATATATCTTATTATTTTTGTTTGGTCCTGATTTGAGTATTATTTTGGGACAAATTCCTCAACCTTATTGAATCTTGGGTGTTGATAGGTTGAAAAAACCAAATCCACCAAAATGGATGAATGATGTTGATGATATTTGAAACCCTAATTTCATCTTATACATCCCTTCCCTCTTCATCTTATTCCATTTTTATTTTTACTTGTACTACATATTGTTGGAGAATTATCTACATATTATTTCTCTAACATATTGGTACATAGATTGCTATTAACCGACCTCAAAATAGGTGTGACTTCTATATAAGTCCACTTATGATTGCTTAACATAACGCTAAAGTTGTCTCGATTATAAAAATGATCATTCGTGACACAAAGCTATGTTTGCAAGCCCAAGTATGTTTAATTTGAAACTTTTGATCCAATAACTTTGAAGTTTATTGTTAGGAGACTTTGATCTTATCAATACTCTAATGAAGTTCATGAACTTTGGTCTAAGTGAATCATTTGAACATCGTTGATCATATGTAGTTGCTTTTAGTACTTGAAATAAATGATATACTTGACAAAAAGTAAATGAGACTTGTTGTTAAGAAGCTTTAATTTTATCAATCTTCTAATGAGTTCTCAAATATAAATTTCAAGATGGTCATTCAACTAACCTCTAACTTCTAATTCACTAACACTTGACTTTACTTTATGCCTTTTATTTTACGTCTTTACTTTTATGTACCATTTACTTTAGCATTTACATCTCATGCTATTTTTTTATCTTTGCTCGCTTGAGCATTTATTTTTATGTCATATTATCTTTGCTCATTTGAACTTTTATTTTATTTTTGAAGACACTTAATAACCAACTTGAATATTAAAAACTTTAAAGTTACTTGGACTATTTAGTTACTATCCTTGGCATTATGAAGTTGCGGGTCTCTCAGACTTAGGATTAGAAGCTTTGATTCTTTGGGACCTTGTGGCTCTGTTGTTTGTTTGTCTGAAGTCTTGGGGTTTACCACTAGACATTGGGTTGATTTTTTTGTGTGCAGATTATTCTGATTATATGTTTTGTCCGTGATTGAGAATTCTTCTGTATATAACTGTTACTCTTCCCAATTTTTTTAAAGACTTAATTCGTCTGAAGCTTGGTATTTCTCAAAAATTTAGTATTTCTGCTTACTTGGTTTCAATTCAAAGAATGAAAATTCTACATTGACTTCATATGTCAAGTGTCTGTTTCTTGTTGGTTAGATCGTTCTTTTCCTTGGCTTTTACCTTATACTTTAGAATAGTCCCTTCATCTCCTCTCATCTTCTTTAATTTCAAAAATCTTCTCCCTCCTTTTCAAAACTCTTCTTGTTTTATAAGTTGAACCGATTTCATAATAAACTTATACTTAGGTCCATGCATTTTCAAAAATATTTTCTTAATCAAATTTTAATCAATTTAATCATACTTTGACATTTTTTATGAGAAGACTAAAAGTTAATTAACCTCATTCAAATCATTTTGCCACTTTGGCTTTTTACTTTAAAACTTTTCTCAAAAGATTAGACTCTTGTTGATTCTTGTAGTGATGCGAGCTACTATACTTCTACGATATATAGTGAAATGAGATGTTTTCCACTTGGGTGTAGAGTGAGACTTTGTTGATTTTAAAATCCAAACTATATCCTCCACTTTGAGATGATGAAAATTCTTCTTTCTCATAATTGTGGGTAGTAAGTATGTCTTCCACTCGGATATGACGGTGATGTCTCATCTCTTAAAATTAATCAACACTATTGTGTTTTTAAAATTTTTAAGGTGAACTACGAGTATCCTGATCCCCTATTGCACGAAAGATGGTACGTGGGAACTAAAAGTTCGCAATCGCGGCGGGTGCAAAAATTATAAAACATACTTCTTTCCTCATCTCCACCATCTATTTTTGTATACTCATTTTATAGCCAAAATACACAAATTTTTAAAGAAAATTCTGCGGAGTATCATAGATGTTTAGGGTGCTAATATCTTCCTTTTACATAACTAACCCCCGTACCTAGATTCTCTCTCCTATCTTTTTGGGTTTACTCGCTCTTTTCTCATTTCCTTTGGAAACAATAAAGTGTGGTGCCAATTTTTATTTGATCCGTGGTGAATTGGTGACACGTCATCAGGGATTGTGTCTTCAAAGTCATAATGACATTTATGATTCTCAGACAACAATCATATATGCCACACCTATTAGTAGGGGTGGCAAACAGGCACTCCCTTCCCGTTTATGTCCACCAAACAAAAACCGTAAAAAATGAGACAAGGTATGACAAACATGGTTGAGAGTGCAAGGCTAAAACATTTTTCTGTTTCGCAAAAAAATTGAAGGTACAAATTATTATGTTAATGTTCGCGCCGTAAAAGTCCATAAACAAATAAAGCGGAATAGACACATTAGAGAGTACAAACTTAAATATTTGATTCACCTCACTCTAAAGTACAAGTAAAATAGTCATATTCAATAGGCCATACATGTTTTGCCACTCATACTTATCAGTATGTCGTCACCCTATGGACTATAAACAACATGTGACAAGGAAATAAAGGTGATTGATCCCACGAAGATATGACAGTGTGAAAGGAAGAATATCAAAAGACTAAAAAATAACAAGATGTGTTTAGAAAAGTAAGATACTCACGAAAAAATTAATGCCATGAAGATCGACGAAGAAACTACCCAGATTATAAGTCACGCCTCGACTAAGTTGGATCAGGTTTGATGGCTACTGTTCACACCTGGGTCGACAAATCAGATTGAAGACCCGTGGGCCACAATAAAAAAAATCCCAAAATGATCTTTCAAACGTAAATAGGAGTACACCATCATAACTAAGATCTCCCCTCACTTGTGAACATCTCATGTATTTACAAGATCAGGCCATATAAAAATAACTAGATTCAAATGTTAATAAATAAATAAAAATGAATGGTCATATAACTTGTACTAGGCCTAATAATCAAATTTCTTTAATCACGATTAGAAAATTGTCATTACTTTTAAATATCTCTAAAATTTGATGGTGCAGTCCTTAAATAGAAAAGGAAGAGAATGTAAGGGTGTAGATGTTTCAATGTGAGAGGACTCAATAGTAATGTTGAGAAAAGTGTAATATTTCTAAGCATTGAACATACTTAAATAAATAATTTTAAACAATAATATGACATTTAAAATAACTTATTTATGTTTCACAAGTGGCATAAATGGTATTCAACCCAAAATATTCATGATAATGAGATTGTTCACCATAATTTATGACTTGGAGCCCGCAATCTAATTTGCGGACTTGGAGTCTGCGACCACCTGGTTGGTTTACATAGTATTCGACCACGTGGTTGGTTTACGTATAGTGTTAACGCATGTTTTAATAAATATCGAGGAACAACAAATAGAAGTTGGTACGTGGGTGATAGATCTTGTAATCTTATTTCTGTAGACATAGTTTGGGATGTTGGTGACCTTTACATAGTAGAAGTGGAAGCCTTAGCTCTTAAAAAGACTATCCATGGCACTACAGCTTTGCACCTTAACAACGTAGTTTTTGAAAGATTTTTGAAAGTGACACTCAAAGAGTTGTTCAAGTGTTTTGCTCTAACAATAGTGGCAATTTTGAATTTAATTTAATCACCAAGTCCATCAAAACTTTGTTAGAGTCCTTCCTCAACTTTGAGGTTGAGTCCATCAAGTGTCAAACGAATATAGAAGCGAATGCCACCCACCAATTCTTCACGAGACTTTTCATCATGTTTTGAGGAAATTTTTTCTAAAAAATTCTTAGGACTAAGTTTCAATGTCTTCATGAAACTTCTAAATATATTGTTAGCTTTCAATTGATGTTTTTTTGTTGTTGCTGTAACATCTTTATTTATTTGTGCAGCGATTTGTTTTTTAGAAACCAGATAATCTAATTCAATACATAGACAAATTTGCTATCGAGACCGAGTGATATAATTGAATCATCTGATTCAATCAGGCAAATCGACCAGTGACACAGTGATCCAATATCCTTACCAAATTCATTGGCTGAGTCGACTTTTAAAACATTGTGAATATTTGCCGAAGGTAAAGAATGGTGTAGTGAAATGACACATTCCAATAAGATTAAACACTAGACATTTCTTTTAGGTCAGAACTATCACATTCCCAGATCAGTTAGCAACTAACTTCCGGAATCAGCTGCTTTTGGATTCATATTTAAGACTCTGCAAGGCTTATTGTCATGGTTAAACTCGGTTTCCGGAACACCTACTGATGAACACTCTTCAATTTGATAATCTCTCTAGTCAACCAGAGATTTCATGCATGAGCATGGCCTTTCATCAGAATCAATATTAGGGGCAGGCTCTTGACCAGAACCAAATGGCAGCTCCAAAGATGCAGAGCCGGGAGGGTGTGTTCTCATCTGCACAGATCTTAGAAGTGCAGCTCTTCTTAAGTCAGCTGAGTGGCATATATCGCTTGGAGATGATGGGAAGCGGCCATCGGAGTCTGAGCTTCGTTGACGAGGCTGGGAGCAATTAACCGCTGAGACTGGAAAGCCGTGAGAAGTAGCATTTAAACTTGTGGAAGGCGCTGAAGAAAATGTGTTTTGTGGCCTTTGGTATCTGCATGGAGAAACTGGACTACTGGGACGGCTATCCAGATGGGTTAAGCAACTATGCACTATGGTCTCACAAAACCTTGAGTCGTCCGAGTCTTCAGACATTGGCGAATATTGTAAAGAGATATCATCCCTAGAAATAATTCAAAAAAAGAAATTATCTTAGATAGGATTAGTAGCATTAGGAAATTGAGTGCTATATTACTACTCTGCTATGACAGCCAGAACTCAAAAAGTCAAAGGTTGAGTTAGTTGAGCCATAGAGCATATAAGTCTATACGACAGACTCAGTTGAGAGAACGACGCACTGATGCTATTTTAATGTGTTAAAAAATATGCCGTATGATGAACAAATAAAGGCTCTATTCTGTGTCTACTTCATGATTTAGAGTTTGTTGCCAACAAAACCATAGTGACAAAATTTAGTGGTCATCTTTCATTTTGGAAACAGCATAGCCTATGCTGCATAGGCACCATCATTCTCAACATTTATGCATATAAAAGTGTAAAACTATAAGTCAAACCATTAAGAAAGATTTAAACTTTCATGATACGGTATTATGATATCATTTGATCTATGAAACCAATTTCACCTATTGAGAAAAAACTCAGGTTCGTTTAACCAAATAAATAAATAGATTAAAGGGAAGAGAAGAGAAAAAAACGCATAATGCCTAGTGTTGGTTAACTATGGTTCAGCCATGACAAAAATAGAAACCCATTTAGTCATAGTTTAACCTTGTCAGCCACGAGGGCCTATTTAGCCACAATCTTACCCTATAACATTTGAGGCCCAGTGTTGTATCCCATCTTGCACGCCACCAAACACGGCCTTGGCAGCGGAGCACTACGGTGATAATAGTTTACAGGCCACAGGGCTAACCAAAGAACTATTCACCATTATACAATTTTTTTGGCACGAATAGAGTGACGATTTGAATATTTTCAACCAAACTCTCAAGCACGAAAGAAAAGGATAAAAAGAAGCAAGCAAAGAAAATCAAACAAGTATAATTTACGCAAGATATCTGAAGCCAGCATACACAACCAAAACATATATAAAATATAACGATGTAACTGGCAATAACTCGCTCTACAAACAATATGAAACAAACTCGTACATCGCACACGTTTCTGCCCCTATTCATTATCAAATAATTCCTACTGATACGCTACACAATAAGCCTCATTCATAGAAAAAAGTTCTTCATATTCTTCCGTACTGGTATAACATAACTATCCATGACTTTACCTGAGAGAGAATGCACTTTCAGACCTCGCCGGAGATTCCATGAGATTATCAGGAAGAGAGTCTCCAACTGTCAATCCATTAAGACTCGATGCCATTATCTGGAGAGCCACGAAACAAACAAATAAGCAACTCTAATAGCAATTTAATCAAAAATCTAAAAGATCAAATTAAGCTCAGTTACACAAACAACTAGAAGTAATTACAAAACGCCCTAAAGCAAAGTCTCAATTTTGAACCATATACTATTCAAAACAAAGGCCAAATATTCATAAAATTAATATAGCAATTTAGCCCCAGTAAAATTAATAACTGCTAAAAAAATCACAAGACAATAAATTAGAAACCAAAAACATAAGGAAAAAAAAACATAATAATTTGGAAGTTATGTGAAGGTTAAAAATTTAAAATAAAATATGAAAAACAAAAAGAATAAGACAAAAGGTGAATGAGACAACGATGTTTAACCTCGCTTAGGTAACGTTTGTGAGAGCGAAGATTGTCGACATAAACTTCCTCTTCGGGGTCTCTGGTGCGTTTGGCACTAGGTGAAGAGGAAGATGGAGAGCCACCCAAATTCGAATCGAAACCCATTGTTGGATCCAACAGCGAGGAACTTCTTAGGGGAAAAAGGGGTTATTCAATGTTGTGATTTTTGAGTGGAAAGTTGAATAATTGGATTTACTCTTCCGTGTTCCAAACGACACGGTGAAATTTGAAGCAGAAAAAGAATGGTTGAAGAGAGTAATGTAGCTTGTTGTTGTTGATGTGGTTTGTGATCGTAGACCCGCTCCTAGTGACGGACACGTGTTTCGTCGTTGGTCGTTTATTAATTTATCCACGGTTTAAAATACATACGTCGATAGGGTGTTGTGGTGAACAAAATTTAGGTGCATTTGTTGAGTAGTGTCAAATTTATTCACGGTTTTGTTGGCTTTTAAAAAATAGAATATGAGGTGGATGAGTAGCTAGACTATGGTGAAACAATATTTTCAATGCGACGGAGTAAGATGGAACAACAAAGTTATTAGTGTGAGAAATCAAAAGTGATATATGAGTGAGAACGAATTAGAATATTTGAAAATGATGTATTTTATTTTATCTTCGATTTTGAATGATGAATGCGAGAAAGATGATGTTCTTGAACCTCTTGTTTAGATAGATTGATTCTCTTGAGATTGAAATGTCATTGAATTAATTAAAATACTATTTTGTCCTTGTTTAAGATTAAGGTTTTTTTTTTTTAAATAGAAAAAACTCCAACTTCTGCCTTGAGGGAATTGACTACGGATTAACTCATTATTTCTCCAATATTTAGGAAGTGAAACAATGTTTTACATCGTCAACTCAGTCTTACCATTGAAAGCATACGTCATCACAATTCAATTAATTTTATTTACATCATTCTCCCTCGAAGTTTGTTAAAGAAAATGGAAAGGTGAAAAATGAAAATGGAAAGTCGTTGATATTTATGGTAAGTGATGGTGTAATGGAAAAGTGAATACGAATTGATTGATTTCAAAAATATGCATGCTCATTTTATTTGAATTATTAATCAAAATATACAAGTTTACAACAAACACAATTCAACAACAATGACATTACAAAATGAAATTATAAAGGCCTATTGATCCTATAGAAGAGCTTCTTTGTTGATCCACTTGACTTTACGATATTTCCTTGATGATCTTAGACTTGTCAGAGTAGGGGTAACTCTTGTCTTTTCTTCTGTTGGGCATACCAATTTTACTGAGAGGGCAATTGCTAATACTGTTGACCTTGGTGCGGGGGAATCACCCTTGGTAGTGGCATTTGAGATATTGTGTAGGCATTTTACTTGTATAGTGAAGGGTTGTCTTCTCTCCCTTTTATTTCTTGAGTTCCTTCTTTGATACTTTCTTTGAGTTTTTTGGTGAGTCTCGGGAAATCAGCTAGCATGAATGACAATTGAATCAGGACGCAAGTAGAAATTGATATGAGGTTGATATGCAAATGTATGTACATGTATGCAGATGAAAATATATGGGTATGCAAAAGATTTTTTTTCAGGGTATGCTACTTTTTTTTATGGATATACAAATGCAATGTGGAGTTATGCTAAAGATGGACATAAGGACACCCTATACGGGTTTAGGGATATATATATATATATATATATATATATATATATATATATATATATATATATATATATATATATATATATATATATATATATATATATATATATATATATATATATATATATATATATATATATATATATATATAATGGAAAACCCCTATAAGCTAGAGATTATGATAGACAAACGAAAATCCTACAAATTAGGTATTAAGACTTACAAAAGATAACCCTACAAGCTAGGAATTAAGACTTACAAAAGATAACCCATATAGGCTAGGGATTATGATAAACCAAAGGAAACTCTTACAAGTTTAAGGATAGTGATAGATAAGAGGAAATCCTTACGGGTTTAGGGATAATGACAAGATATCCTTCGCATGAAAGTTCCCTGTGAAGGATAAGATGTAAATAAAATATCCTGTAGGAGGGCTCCTACGGGAGTTTCTAAATTTTCTACCCTTTCTCATAAGAGTGGTTTCCTTAAGGTATCATGAATAACACAAAAGGGGAAAGACACTGGGGCCTCTCTTAAGTGGATCTTCTGTGTAGACCGAGACTTTCGTCTTGTAGGTCATACAAGGTCTCACCATGAGATTTTATTTTGGATTATACAAAGAGTCATTGGTCAAATCCCAAAGTCCTACCTCCTAAAGAGTTGAGCCATCTAAAAGATATTTCTAGAAATTCTACCTAATCTAGGCGAAATCGTCGCAAAAACTCATAGGAATCTTAAATCCCATTGACCAATTGACAATCTTTTTTCTAAGATTATTATATATTTGTAATAAAATTCCACCAATATATATATATATATATATATATATATATATATATATATATATATATATATATATATATATATATATATATATATATGACAATAATATGATAAGTAAAATAATAATAAATAAACAAGTAAATAAATAAATATGAAGAAAAAGAATATGTCATAAATAGAAATAACCCAAAAACCCTAGACCTAAAAGGAGGGGAAAACTTTAACCCTGGTTGTGTCCTCCAACAGATCACCAACTGTCGTAACCGGCAAAAAACACGAGTCGCCACCACTACTTTTTGTCCTAAGGACGGAAAAGAAAACGGATAAACCCTAAATTTTCAGAGATTCTAGATTCGCGAGTTGGTTAGATAAAGGGAATGTGTTAGACACTATTTATCTCCCTTGTTCTCAAGGGGACCCGTATTTAAGTTTAGGACTTAATGGAAATTTTCTATTTAAATTATGTTATTGTCATGTATATATGGAAAGCTTTAGTTTTTGTTAGGGGACTCGCCTTGGTTTTAACTGCATACCTACATATCCTCTTGCGAATAAATCAAAGTCCATTTCGTAGTTTGTATATTTGATTAGTGGTTTTTATAGGATTGTATAGTATTGCTTTCGAATTATCCTTGAATCTTGTATGGGTTTGATAAATGAGTGATCGTAGACATAATTCGCAGTTAAATTTGAAGGCAGTGCTACTTAATCCTTTTTTGAAAATATCTTGAATTTTTATTATGTTAGTGAAAAAATAGTTTGATCGTTGGTTAGCTGTTTTAGTTAAGTTCGATTAATTGATGAGGAAGAGTTAATCTTTATTAGAATTAAATCACGTTGAGCAAAGTAATTGATTTTTATAAGAAGTTTATCCTTATTAGAATTAAATCGCGTGGGCCGAAGAAATTCATTTGATTGATTGATGAATTTTAATGTGTTAATTTGAATAACTAATTGGTAAATATTAAATCGACCACTCGATTATTCGAGAATATGATAGATGTAAAATCTACCTATTCTATTATTCATAAAATGTTAGAATTAATGTGATTGTGAAAAAATGTAATTTTATGTACATGTAATTTGATTGTAAGTTAATTGGATGACTTACAGAAAATGCATACAGGCTAAATTAATTTTCTTAGTAAAATAAATATTTATTTTTCTTAGTTTTTTGAATTGATTATCGTAACTAAAATATATTTTGTGTTTTAAATTTTTTTTATTATTATTATTATTATTATTATTATTATTATTATTTATTATTATTATTATTTATTATTATTATTTTAACTAAAATTAACTAAATTAACTAAATAAATAACTTATAAATTAAAAACAACGGGTGTAGTTAACAGAGAGTGTTGGTCAGTAATGTTGGGTCCAAGACTCAATTGTTAGAAACCCTAATAACCTGATTAAATAAATAATTAATAAAAATAAAAATAAAAATAAATAAAATATTAAAATGAAGAAAAAAGTGGAAGCTATAACTTCCAGAGCAGTACCGTCCCCACTCTGTTATTTGTTCTAACTTAGAATTTTGAATCTTTTGATATTAATATCATAGTCTATTAAGCCTCGACATGTGGCATTTTAAAATAAAATAAAATACACCTAATAATACAACAAAGAGGGACAATAACATGTATCCTTTTTTTCCTTCAATTTAATTGACTAACCACACGAGACATGACAAGTGGCGCCACTTAGAAAATAAAATAATAAAAAGAGATAATGGGATAATAAATATTAGTAAAAGAAAACAACTCATGTATTTATTTTCTTGAAGAGGATTCAGTAACTTTCATTTTGATAATTTTGTGTAATTTTAGTTATTATTGATGAGAGAGAAAGTGAAAAAATGGAGGGAAATAGAATGAGAGTGAATGTTATTTAGTGAGAGATACACTCTAAATTACGGTGACTTTGACGCTCCAAAATCATCGAAACCCAACCCTCTTTTCTACGATCTTCTCCTCAAACTCTATCTTTCTCTTGTTTTTTTTGGAAAATCTCAAAGCAAACAAAACTGAAAAGTAATCAAACAAAAAAAATAATGGGTGAGCAAGTTACATCGGCATCCAGGTGCGTGAACGGAGGCGTCGAATCGAAGGAAGGTCTGTTAGTTCACAAGAACCAATAATAAACAAAAAATATATTTAAGAGAATAGAGAATGATGGTTGTAAAGTTGCAAGAGGAATAAACGTTGTTGTTTATGACATTTACAACTAGTCTATTTATACACAAAAATGAATGCCACATATGCCCTAATAGAATAGACTTAATAACTATGTTATCAAAAACAATTAGAAATACTCAATTACCCTTTAATATCATCTATTATTTTATAATTTCTAATTAAAACTAACTACAAAAATTTCATCCCTTAAGTGAATAAATTGATCCGTCTTGATTGCCTTTATCATGATATCTGCCAACTACTTCTTAGTGCTATAGTGCACAACTTATAGTACTCCGTTATGGACTTGACTTCTGAAAAAATGATACTTTGTCTAAATATGCTTGCTTCTCCCATGTAGTACCGGGTTCTTGGTAAGATTGATTGTAGACTTGTTATCAATCATCAGCTTCAGAGGCTTAACAATGTTGATCTTCAGATCCTGCAATAAATTCAGAAGCCACACAGCTTGGCATGCAGCTATAGCACCTGCAATGTACTCAGCTTC